TTTTACCTCTGAAAACAGGTGACACCCACCTCCATCATTTGCAAATATCTCGACTTGTATTCAAGATAAAAGGATATTTTTTAAATCCAAATAAAGACAATTGAACAAGCTTTAAGTTGATACCAATAACTCTACATGCCCAAAAATTGACGAGAGCCTGATTCCACCACGCTGCCTCACATTAGTCGAACAAATTGCCTCATGGTCGAAAAAAACAAGTTCGTTTCTACGATTTCATTATTTTTCACGAACGCTTGATTTCTCAGCATTACCAAACAAAGCTTTAAGTCCCTGCGTCGTATGACTACTATGACGTACATTTCCCCACCCCGTCAGCCACCCGATAAAGTATCTAGGTCGAGCATTTCGACCTCTAGGAAAATCCATCCTATTTTTACCTTCCACGATAAGCGCGCTTTCGACATATGGAAGTAAAACGTGTCAAATTTTATATAAAGGAGCGCACCTTTTGTTGACATAGCCGATCCGAGAGAAGCAAGGTGTGACATAGTTACGAAGAAGGCGCTGCCAAGATTTCTTGCTGTACAAGTAAGCAAACAGGTTAAGTGTCAACGGGGGCTATTCGGTATTTTTTTTCTTTTCCTGATGAACCTTTATGTCGAATACCTTGAGGAAAATGAAATTAAACATTACGGTCTTGTTCCAGGCTTTCGGTGCTACTGTTATAGTTTGGTGTTGTTGGATTCTTTTTTGTGGAGGTTGTTTCGTAGGGCTTTGGGTTTCTTTCTTTCTTTCTTTCTTTCTTTCATTCTTTCTTTCTTTCTTTCTTTCTTTCTTTCTTTCTTTCTTTCTTTCTTTCTTTCTTTCTTTCTATCGTAGTGGTAGCTTTTTATTAGGCAACAGTAGAAAGCTTCATGACTTTCGGAATTTTGTTTTACGGCTGTAACGCCTCTTTCTTATCTATAGGATTAATTTTTTAACTGGTTCAACATCATCCTCCTCTTTGCCTTTCTCACCCTGCACCAGGGTATAGGCCACAAACAAACACTTTCCACCTTTCTCTATCCCGGGTTTGCCTCTTGATGTTATTCCAAGTCTTCCCACTTTTCTGTACCACAATTTCAATGACTCTCTGCTTCAACATCCACAGTATTCCACCATTTGTAATTTCTACCTCAACTTATTGATATATCTAAATATAACTTTCGAAACCTGTGATAAATTCCTTATTATTCCTCATTTAACTTATACATCTATATAACTTTCAAAAACTATGTAAGAAGTTTCTGCATGTGGTTTGAGAGATGCGTCTGATGAGGAATGCTGCATTATTGTCAGATTGATTTTTCTCTTCACAATGAACAATTAACTAACAATTTAAATCCCGTATACACTAATAAAAACTGCTTTAAGAAACAGATGGAAAAGGTCCCACCCTAAGCACAACAGACATGACCCCTACTACATACTAAATAGAGCAGACCAGGTCACAATCTTTAGACTCCGCTGTGGCCACAACAGACTCAAACACCATAAATATGCACACCAAATTAAAAGTGGGAGAAACAGCGACATGTGAATGTGGACACGACCAAGAGGATGCCAACCATGTCCTTCAGCACTGCCCGCGCTACGCCACCCTTCGCGCACAGACGTGGCAGAATGTGGCTCCCCTTGAGAGAAAACTCTATGGCAGTCTTTCAGAGTTGAAGCGAACTACACAGTTTGTACGCGACATCGGACTGACTGTCTAGCTGCTGTCATCGAGAACGAGGAAGAAGAAGAAGAAATCGCGTGTGGGTTTATGTCTACGGACTGGGTTTTTTTTACTACTCCTGCACAGTCACAAGAATGTCCATAAAGACAGTATAAAGTTGTATCTTATCTTATCTTATCTTACTTAATCTTATTTCTTTATCACTTTTCTATTCTAGGATATAAAAACCACCCAAGAGAAGTCGAGAAAAATCCGGGTGGTTATCATGACGAGCTCAACACTGTGGACTCTCGTCTTCATCGCAGTCCTGTTTGTTCTCATGAATGTACCGAACACTGAGGCCAGGCGTGGGGGAGGGCGTGGTTTTTTCGGTAGATCATCATCTCGATCTTCCTCAAGATTCAGACCCTCCTCCTCTTCCTCTTCCTCCTCCTCCTCCTACAATTCGAAATCCTCCTCCCTCTCCACTTCCCGTTTAACCCCACACATCAACCCAAAGCTGTCCAGATCTAGCATCACTCGTGTGACGTCACGGCTGCCTAAGACGACGTCACTAGGGCGAAGAATGACGTCAAGCGAGAGAGTCCTCTTTGTGTCGACAGTGCGATTGGGCGTCTCCAGGCGTGTTAGGCGTACCGCCGACTACACCAGTTACCGGTAAGGGGGACATGTCATAGCAATAGTCTTTTAAACAGTATATATATATATATATATACATAATATATATATATATATATATATATATATATATATATATATATATATATATACATATATATATATATATATATATAAAGAAAA